GTAGGTCACTAACGTCGACCATGAAGACCGCTGAAGTGAGACGTACTTTTGAAAATTTTTAAAATTAGATCACTATCAGTCAGCTTATTACTCTCGGTATCGGTCTTCGAAACTAACCCACAATAATACAAAACGTCAAATTACAAAAAAAAACTGACAAAGAGACATGGAACCACAGATTAACTACTTCCTATTAATGCAGACATTGTTACGGATGATTCCAAAACTGAGGAAGGTTCGGGAGCTGCACGGAAAAAAAGGAATTGTTTAATCAAGCAAAATTTAATTGAATGAAGCAAATAAAAGTGTCATAAATGCACGACAAAATATAATCTTGAAATGAGTGAATCTATATCTTGTTTCAGAGTGAATTTGAAGTTTGAATTGAGTAAATATTTCTTGAATGAACTCTGGATCTTATTCAATCAAGCACATCCATGAATTGTTCATGAAGAGATATTGAATTGGCTCAAACAATCATTTTGTTTGATCCAAAATAACAAGATATCGATTCAATCAAATATTTAGTTGATTCAATGAAATATTTGGTTGATTCATAGAAATATTTGATTGATTCAATGAATCATTTGGTTGATTCAATGAAATATTTGGTTATTTCAATGAAATATTTTGTTGATTCAATGAAATATTTCGTTGATTAAAGAGAAATTGTATTTTCATTCAACAAATTGTTTAGTTGAATTGAATCAAATTCAGTATTGATTCGGGAGTTTCCTGAAATTTCACATCAAGAGAATAAACTAAACTAGGAAACTAGTCGACTTCTAGCATAGATCTCCAGTCTTTTCTTCCCTTCAGCTGATGCGAAACTATTTCGGATTGCTAATCATCCTAAGTTCGATTTATTCAGCTGATATTTCAAAGACGAAGAATCCGGCCTCACATATATAATGAATTCGAGGCATGCATAGGCGAGGCGAAATCATCGCCATCTAGATGCGAAAATGTAACTTGATGTAGAATGAACAAAATATGTCATTGATATAACATATTTCGTTGCTCTATTCAAGAAAATAATCCGTTCGAAACGAGTTCATTGCTACATCGGAATAAGAAAACTTGTATGTTGTTTCAAAGACAAATTCCCATCAAAATGATAATTATTTCATCAAATCAACGAAATGTTTATAGTTGAATCAACATCGACATCATTTTTGATCGACATAAATGGTTCTTAAGAAAACCATATATTTTGTTGATGGAATTGATATTATACTGTTGATTCAATAAGATTACATTCTTGATTTGAACAAGCTGCTTCCATGAAATAATCATGTATCTGGTTGATTCAACAAAAAATTGCTCAGTCCAACAAAAATGATTCAAGCATAATGAATTGGTTGATGCAACCAATCCTTTTTTTCCGTGTGGTATTCAAGGAGCCAAGCAGAAAAAAAAACTCACTGGGCAGAAATTGTCGCGTTACATCATTGCGTAAAAAAATTCATAAGGCAAGATAATTCATAATTCATAGCTAGGCAGCAATCAAAGAAGTCAACTCAAGGCGAATTAATTCAAAATTTGACTGCAGGGATTGCTCAGAAACCCAACAGTAACATGATGGTACTGAAAACTATCGTAATATCATGATCTCGTAGGTTCAAGATGTTCTTATTTATACTTCTTTCCTGGAAGCAAAACTTCACCTAGTCACGTGCTCACAAAGCTCGACTGATACGGGTATTATATGCCATGATTAAATAATGTTAAGAGGAATATAAAACTTCCTCTCTCGGCTTACGATCTCCTGAAATATGGACCGGAATTTGCATAAGACCATTTGTTTTCTTTGAAAGTTTTCAACTCTGCCGCCAGAATAGCAAATAGTCCGGCATAAAAAGCGGTAAATCAGTTACTTTCTTCCAGAGGAGAAATTCACTGGAAGAATAGACGTCTGGTAGATCGAAAATAAATGTCGCTACTGTTGAAAAACAATTCAATTGCGTTTCTCGTCTAGTATTCAATAAGGGTCGAATTGAAGGGTGCGAAACGGAGAGAAAAAGGTATGACGCCGGATGTAATTACAGTTGCTATAGACGTCTCAATTTAGACTGTATTGTTCCACTTTTCAGTCATGTCTGTCTGTTCCACATCCTGGCATCCTGTTCATATACACACGTACAGGGTGGAAATCTGATGGCATTATACCCGTATCTCCATAACAGACATAATTATGTTTCAAATGTATATATATAAATAAATCTATTTTTCTCCGTTAGATACAGGGTGTCCCAAAATTGCTGGGTCACAAAGCTACCACGTGTAATAAAGGTCAAAACAAGTTGATTGGCCCCAATTTATTTGAATGTAAAATCGATGATATTTCCTCAAAATTCTTAATCATACGATATGTTCGTTACTTACAGAGTAGCTTCACCTGGTGAAATATTGGTACAATGAAATAAACTAACCTTGGCTTGCCTAACTTATTTATATCCTGAAGGATTAGAATCACCTGTGGAAAGGTTCGATTAACCTTTATTTTCGGAAAATAGGAAAATTATCGACATTAAAATGGGGTGTAACGAATTAACTTGAAAGGGTTGATATCAAATACATATTATTACCTACTAAGAAAACAAGTTCAGGAACGTATATTAACCACAAATATAACACACGTGGCGTGACAAGTGAATAATTATCAAAATCCCAATGCCAACGATACCAATCATTCCTCGATCCAAGATTTTACAACGCTGTTCCAAAAAACTAACAGATATGAATCATAGAAAATCAAAAATCGTCTCCTAGATTATATCCAAGGCAACAAAGAGGTTTTCTATGCGCTTTTCAGCATAGTTTCATAATCAAAATTCAATATATCTTTTGTTTTTCACCTAATATAATTATAATGATTTCTTTTTTTTTTCTACTCAGATCAACTTTTTCCTAATCTTCTTTATTTGAAAGCTCGTAGCACATGAATCTACAAAAAATAAATCACTCAATGCATACGCTCATCACAAACTTCGGTTTAGCAGCTCATATACTATATTTTATCAATAAGCTGTATAAGCTTTAGAATTGATTAAACTGAATTTGAATTTGAATTTGAATTTGAATTTGAATTTGAATTTGAATTTGAATTTGAATTTGAATTTGAATTTGAATTTGAATTTGAATTTGAATTTGAATTTGAATTTGAATTTGAATTTGAATTTGAATTTGAATTTGAATTTGAATTTGAATTTGAATTTGAATTTGAATTTGAATTTGAAGTTCATCAGTGGTGAACTATTGAGGTCTAGTTGATCGTTAAGTAAAACGTTAGAATTTCTTAGTTTGTTGATTTCTAATTATTCAAAATAATCGAGTTTTATTCTTTTATTTTCTACGTGTAGAATTCTTAAACTATCATCAAAACTATGGTTTTCTTCTGATATATGGTTGGCATATGTTGAATTTGTTTTCTTTCTCCAAAAATTCATCTCATGTTCATGAATGTGCTGATTAAACGTACGACCTGTCTGACCGATATATACCTCAGAAGAAGATCCACAGTTAAGTTTGTATACCCCCCGATTTTTCGAAGGAAGAAGTTTTGTCTTTATTGTTTTTGGTGAAGCTTCCCAACGTGTTATTTGTTCCATATGCTACTTTTAAGTCCTGTTTATGTAGAAATGAAGCCAATTTTTCAGTTGATGATCCGAAATAGGTTACAGTTCTATAATTTTGATTATTATTCTTGATGGTAGGATAAACTTCTTGAATAGCTTCATTATGAATTTTTTTAGGAAGAATACTGTCTATCAAATTAACGTTGTATCCGTTGTTGACTGCAATCTGTTTCATGAGTTTCTTATTGAAATATCCTTCTGAAAGAGGGATATTCACCAGCCAACTATTATATGCTACAATTTTATGTTGATGGGGTTGTGTTGAATTTCATATTCTGCTCCGTTCTTGAGATACAGAGCAGATTTAAAAATGCTGCATTTCAGGACCTCCCCTGTATCTCAGCTATCTTTCGACTCATAGTGAAAGTGAAAACTGTCTCTCATATGGTTTTTCACGTGGAAGCCAGTGGCGTAGTCATATTTTCAAAATAGGCTGTTACGGAAAATGATATTAGGAGTCAAAATAGGTCGAAAATCACTTCAGATTTGGAATCAGGACGCCCAATTTACTAACTATTCAAATTTTTCCTGGAAAATTTTCAGTTCGGAAAAATGCAATTTTGTCGCATTTTTTATGGAAGCACCCCCGTATCTCACGTAATTGACTTTATCTTTGGACTTTCTCTTCCTCCGGCAAATTTCAGAACCCTACCTCAATAATTACGTGAGATACGGGGGTGCTTCCATAAAAAATGCGACAAAATTTCATTTTTCCGAACTGAAAATTTTACAGAAAAAATTTGAATAGTTAGTAAATTGGGCGTCCTGATTCCAAATCTGAAGTAATTTTCGACCTATTTTGACTCCTAATATCATTTTCCGGAAATTGGGGTAGTTTCATGGCTGTTGGCGAGCAGTGTATATCACTGAAGATGACCCCACTTGGTCATAGAGTGCATTTTTGGTATATCTCTCGCTCCAGCAAATTTCAGGATCCTTACCCAACGATTACGTAAGATACAGGGGTGGTTCCATTTTAAATGGGTCACACTGTATACATATGAAAAGCGTGAGAAGTGTTGCAAAAATCAATTTAGGTTCCTAACGACATTATCAGTCCACTAGCCTATTCTCAAATACTTATCAACTGAATAACTTCATTCCACCAAAGCCAATACTCGTTTGACTAGAAATGAAACAATCGATATTCTGTTCCAATTGGAATCAATGAATATGGAAATAACGTGAAAACACTATCATGTGAATAAAAACAATTACACTCAAAGAACATTAAGACTTTTTCTGGACAAATAAATAAAATCAATATTTTTGTCTGGAGCATAATGCATTCAAGTGGTTTTCAAAATAAAAACAAGACTATAAATAACATGCATGCCTAAATATAAAATCATTCCATTGAAAATGTTTCGCATGTGGCTCCTAGTATCTATCATAATCAAGTACAATGAGTGTGCAAGACAATCAAAAAATTATGTAAGATCTTATTCAAAATGCCTGAACAATATATTGGAAAATTACACTAGTACAGAAGATATAATACTGTGGGATCCCAACGATGAAATCAAACTCGAAGTTCCCATCACAATTCAAAATGGAAAAGAAAAATTCAAGACATTTCAATACAACAGAAGAGCTTCATGTTATGTTATATCACTGATCACAAATGAAGACTTCACTGAAGTGATGCAAATACTCATCAGGTCCAATAAATTTGATACTGGTGCAGAGTTCATCTTCATTGTGGACATCATCACTCCAGGAATGCTGAAAGTAATTTCTGAAAAATATATCTACAAGGTTATTTTCATAACCAGCATTTCCAGTTCTATACAATACATCCATGCCCTTGGTCAGTACCAGAAGGAAGATATTGATAGCCCTATAGAAGAAACAGTCGTGGTTGGTAATTGTACAAGAGGAAGATTACAACAACACAATGAGTTTTTCGAGAATACTTCACCTATGAAGTGGAGAAATACCACATTCAGAGTATCTTATCTGAAAATAATACCGTATACTAACTGTGTAAACTGTCCGCTCCTCCAGAAAGGAATAGAGGCAGCTTTGATGGAGGTCATCAAAGAAAAACTGAACTTCAAGAGTTTGAAATACACAGAAACACGTAGCTGGGGTGTAAAAGAAGATGGAAATTACACCGAAGCACTTGGGGAGATTAAAACTGGGTTTACTCATTGCGGGATTGGTGTTTTTCACGCCATGGTGGGAGTAAACGAAGACTTTGATATATCTGCACCTTTATGGGAAGATGGTCCGAAATGGGTAGTTCCAATGAGCAAACCATTACCACACTGGAGGCAAGTACTTTTGCTATTGAAGGGTAATTGGTACCTCATTCTCGCATCTCTACTATCACACTTCATAGCGACTGTTGTAATGACTCGTGTTTTACAACTGAATTCAAGAAGTTCATCACTACATCTTCTCGACATAGTGAGAGTGATGTTAAATAATCCTCAGACTAGTCACTACGAAAATATTTCCTTGAAGATGATGCTAATGATACTTTATTACTTCTCATTGATAATCAGTTGTGCTTACACTAGCAAACTCACATCCCTCATAACCGTTGGTACACGGTATCATCAGATCGATACTCTCGAAGAAATTATAGCATCTAAGCTCACATTGGGAGTTATTCCTGATGTAGTCACATACTACTCTCTCTCGGCCGATCCACTAGAGAAACGAGTTTCAGAAAAGCATATGGTATGTAATTTTACATCATTTTGTACGAACAGGTCAGCTTTTCAGAGAGATATGGCCTTCACCAGGAGTCAAGAGATGATGAGATTTCTGATACCAAAATATTTCCTCGATGACCTTGGATGTCCTCTGCTGCATGTCACTAGTTCTTTCATTCTCAAAACGCACGTGCATTGGTTCTTCAGAAGAGGTTTTCCGATGTTTGAACAAATAAATGACCTTTTGCTGAGATTGAAGGCGAGCGGGGTGATGAATATGTACTACAGTCATTTGTTGAATGATGCAAAAATGGAGTACATGATGAATGATAAGAAAAATAGGAAACATCATATAGCTCTAGGCTGGGAGCAACTGGAATTCATTTTTTATGTGCTTTTTGGAGGATGGATGATAGGTGCTATATCGTTGTCATTAGAACTACTATTGAAACTACTAAGCAGATCACACACAATATGAAACAAATAGGTGCTAATTAACACAATTAGATAAATATCAATGATGATAATAATATACTGTGCATTCCTCGTGAATTATAATAATATACAAACTATTCACTTTGACTGATATAGTTATTTTCGTTATCCCATACTGTCATTTTGTTTTAACGGTATTCAGATGACAATTGGAAAGTTAACGTTAACAGCCTCCGTCCGTTAAAATTGTTTAACAGTCGGCGGCCGTTAACAGTTCCATAACAACACGATGTTGGGATTTTTCTGTAGAATCACGAGGTACGTGGTTTGTTCTCTCCTCTCCTCAGCTTGTTGAGATACCATGTTTAACTTTTGTTCCATATCTCCCTGTATATGAGGTTTGATCATTGCAATATTCGCTTTCGTTATAGTGACTGCACTGACAGAGTCTCAAAATTTCGTTCTCGTTTTCGAGTAATCTATCTTAGGAGCACATTGAATGGGCGTGTACACCTTAGTAGAACTCCTAACTCAAACCATGTTTATAATGATTCTTTTATACATAAATAATGATTGACGACATAATTCGATCGAAAAGTTAACTGGAATGTTTTATTTTTGGACATAAATAATAGTACCTTCTGAAAACGGATCCTCTTATGACGTAGAAACCTCATCTCGCCATCTAGCCCGACGGAGACTGATGCAACTGATATATTGATTCTTTCAACTGTGATCTCGCGCTAATTCACTCTGTCAGAAATCATGTATCATTCATTTCTGTCTAGAATAGTCTTGTTTCAGTATCAGGATTTTGACGTCACATCATCGCCTCGTTTTCAGAGGTCCGAAAAATCAGGGATTTCAATATTTTTTTATAAAACGTAGGGAGCTCACAGCTAGAAACGGTTTACGGTGGTGAGCTAGTTTGGGTGAGTTCTATCGAATTATGTAATAACATTTTTCTGTGATATAGGCCCATTGTCTGAGTCAAACCAAATTTTTATTGTTTCCCCAACAACTGAACGAGATACAAAAGTAACAATAGGTGCAAGAAAGTTTGAATTCTTCAATCCTATAAAAACATCAAACTCAGTAAAAACAGTGACGTATATATTGATCCAGATGTCCATAAAAGTAACCGAATACACGCCACTCGAATTCTTATTTCGAATCTGATTATACAGGGTGTCTCATAAGTCATGGATCAAAAGAAGTGGGGTGGTAGAGGGGGTCATAAGCAATCAAAGTAACCGTATATATATGTGGTTTTTCAATTGTTGATGGTTCAGAAGCTATCAAATTTTCCTGAGAAACACGACCCATTTGAAAAAAAATACAAATTCACAAATGTTACATAGTTTTATTGTTATAATTTTTTTCGTGAAACTCACTGTTGATGAAATATCAGATCCATTGAAATTGTCTGGAAGACTTCTTGAGTAATTAATATAAAACAGAGTTGTTATTAATACTTTGGCCACTTCGGGATCACTTTGAGGAAAATTTATGGTTTTCACGACTTTGGCATACATATTATCCTGTTTCTTGAAATAGAAGCAGAATAGGATATATGTCAAATGAAGTTTTTTTATGGGGGGTTTTATATGACAAGTCATCACCTACTGAAAACTTTCGCACTTATTTATTCACAGTCTGTTATGAGAGTTTCTCCGAAGGCCACTTAGTATTTCCGCCCTCATATACAGATCGGAAATAATATTTCCGGAATATAAGTTTCACAAGCCACTCGACCAGCACGAGGAATTACAGACTCACGCAATAGATATTCAAGAATCCATCAACATTGATTTGCGTCTACTTCTTGAGCATATAGACCTGTTATAGAATACTGTTCTGACATATGGGGTTCAGCACCCAAACATACTCTTATACTCTTAGATTCCATCCAGAGAAGAGTCATTCGCCTGGTGGGTGATGCTACACTTACTAACTGACATAATTGGAACACCTTAGGAAGGTCGACGACCTTTCACTTTTTCATAGATCCTTCCACACGAGGTCAAATTACTTTCCGGGATTTTTTTCTCGCTCATGAGTATTTCGAAAATTATCTCCCCGTCTTCGACTCGGAATAATTTTCAAAATATCCATGAGCTCGAAAATATTTCTGGAAATAATTTAATCTCTATAGTGGTATTACAAGTGAGAATTTGTCAAGCAGTCCACAGGAAGAGGATCGGTGATTCAATTGAATATATATAGATACTTTATGATCCATCGTGTATATCTGTTACAGTTTATGCTGATGGTTGACTGGCTACAGTTACTATCTTCAAAATGCATATACGAAATTTCTATATAAGTTTGCCCTCAAATTGTCTTAGATCATTTCACAAAACTACATAGATTTGAGTGAAGGAATAAAGAGGGCAAATTATACTATTCATGTATTGTATTTATAAAATAAAAAGGAATACTGACATAGGTCATTCGACTTTCCGGAACTCTTGTTCCTGATTGTTTGTTTTTCTGACTTTTTGTAGACTAAGGCCAATTTTTTGATAAGTCAGAGCCAATATGACATTGAAAATACCGTAGCCTATCCTTTGGGGCCAGTTCAATACATTGAAGAATGGATAAAGCCAAACTCCTTGTTGAGAGTATATAAAAATGTACCTGAAAAAAAAATGTTTTTCATAATTATAGCCATTTTTCATATTATCTCATCAAGTTTCAGTGAGTTAGGTGACTAGTATAGGTATCCATGAGCGATAGTGAGATGTTCTTTCTTATTTTCGAATAAGGGAGTATTTTCTCTATATATCTTCATAGGAAATATGGAAAATATTGCAAACTATATAGTTATTCCGGATCATTTTTGAGGAATAGTAGAATTCATATAATCAGAGATTATACACTCCCCATATAATATAAATTGGCTGAATCTCTGCAAAATTCAAGTGGATACAGTTACTTGTGTGACTAATGGTAAAACAATTATGTAGTTGTGATTGAATTAATTATACTAATTTTCCTGGAAGCGTTCTTAGTCAATTCTTAACAAACCTTGATACTGAAATAACCAAATTATCGTACAGCTTTAGATGGCTTCAGTGACTTCTTCAAACAATCAATCGGTAAGTATATATCAGCCAATAATGACAATACTTCTACTCCTATATTAAAATAAGCGAATTAAACATCTGCTACCCATTTCTTAATAACGTTCAATTCAACACGAGTTTTCATCATGATACAGATTTTGACTAATGAATATACACGTACTTTTCTTTATAAAACGAATTTTCGGCCATAAAAACACGTACTTGGGTATAATCAGTCTAGTACTCTAGTTGTTTGACATTTAATTCCAAATGACAATATACACATGCAACATTCATGGACCCAAGAAAAGATGAATTTTTCTATCAACAAATTATTTATCCTTCATCACATTTGTTGGCAATTAATCAAATAGATACATGATTATTTCATAGAAGCAGCTTGTTAAATCAAAAAAGTAGTTTAGTTGAATCAAGAGAATAATATCAATTCCATCAACACAATATATTATGGTTATCTCAAAAACTAATAATGTTGATCCAAAATAGTGTCGATGTTGATTCAACCATATACATTTTGTAGATTTAATGAAATAATGATCAATCTCATGAGAATATTTCTTTAAAACGACATACAAGTTATCTAATTCGATGTTGCAATGAACTCGTTTCGAACGGATCATTTGCTTGATTAGACCATCGATGCTAGAAGTCGACTAGTTTGTTTCCTAGTTTAGTGTTTTCATTCTATTGATGTGAAATTCCAGGAAACTCCAGATTCAATACTGAATTTGGTTCAACAAAACAATTTGTCGAATTGAAATACAGTTTCTCTTGAATCAACGAAATGTTTCATCAACGAAATATTTCATTGAATCATTTTTTCCGTGGACTGATGATGTTGAAATATGAATAGTGAGAAATCAATTTCTCTTTTTATTATTTATATTGATCTTATAGAAAGAATAGTGTATGCAACGATCATGTAATGGTTATAATAATACATGATCGTTGAATAAATGTACATATTTCTATATCTTTATTTCAACCCTAACAACACAGGGATGTCCTAGGTACGTCCCTTTTTTTGTCCCGCGGTACAAGGACATGATTGGGGCATCCAGGGGATGTCGCGCAGTGGTTGTCCAGTGGACATCCCGCCCGGTACATCCCAAGGTTATCCTATTCGTGTCCCTGGAATATCTGATATCCATTCACATCAGAGTCATTGAATTTCATCAAAGTATTGAGTTGCATTTATTTGAAAATGTTTGTTTTTCTTCCGGAAAATAATCGTAATGAAATTAAAGAATAAAGTTTCAGAACTTCTTGAGAAATTACCATTTTTCGCGAACAGAAATCGTACATGCATAATGCCTCTCCTTTTTAAACACCCGAGAATGATATAATAATTATACCCAAATCCTAACAAGGTTGTATTTATTCAGGTTTCTGTAGTTAAGTCCTGTTTATAAATCTGTTTAGTACATAAATCTTCAGGAGGCTCAATAGCCAATGGAGTGAGATGCGTGCCTGATAAGCCAAAGGTCCCGGGTTCAATCCGTACTCGACATACATTTTTTTTTCTTTTGTCGAAGGGATGTCCCTGGGATATCTTCGTACTTGGTACATCCCAGGGACGTACCAGAAGGACATCCCTAGGATGCCTCTTTTTGTGGAAAGCGTTGTCCCTGGGTCGTCCCTAGTATGTACCATGTCCCGACACAGGATATCCCAGGGACGTCCTCGTAGAAAATGAAGGACGTCCCTGGGACGTACTCGTGTTGTTAGGGAATAGAGTCCGACATATCCAGTTCATCAATTGTCTGTGCTTTCGACGTGAGATGATTGAGAGTAAATCGAAATTAACAGTCAAACAATTCGAGCAAGTATGTAGAGAAACAGACACCCACTTGAATACGTGTGCCTTTGGGCCAAGAAGTGCGTGTTATTGTTGACCATAATCTGTTTATGAATGGAAATCTGTAGAAAAATGTGAAATATTGATAAATCGTTAGCAGATAGGCATTCAATTCGCGTATTGTAATACAAGAATAGAAAAAGGTGTTTATATGCATAAAAGAGAGTTTCTCTCCATATGACATTAAAATTGGAGTTTTAATGATACTCAAAAAGCAGAATAGGTGTACTTTTACATGCCTAGTCAGGAAGAGTTTGTTGCTATGCAACGTTCCAAGTAATTTGAATCAAATTTAGTTGGTGATCAAAATTAACAATGACTTTGGGTGAACAAAAAATGATGGATTATTTGGACTTTGCGTGAAATTGGAAAGAATTTGGGAAAGCAATTATATGTTTCACACGGCAGAAAAAAATATGTAATGCCTTGGTTGGTTTCCTAGCCTCGGCTACGCCTATAGGCTATGAAACGCCAGCAACGGTACTTTTCTGCCTAGTGAAACAAATAACTTATAAAGATTCAATGAAAAAATGATGAAAAATATGTGAAAATTCAATCACAGTGATTCTCTTCATGATCTGTTCGATATTATACTTACACGAATGCATACGCTAAAATGTAAGTTACCAAGAGTGGAGCAACTTTGCGGAACAGCACCATCTCATTCTTCTTCTCCAATAGCGTTTGAATGACCAGAGGTATAATTATGAGCGTGTGTAGGGTATGATTCAATACCGGGGGAAAATACTGCACCACGTCCCTTGGCAGTATCAGTCCTTCGTCTATGTTCCATATAGTCCAAAAAGTACTAGTCACAACTAGCGTACCAGGGAATACTAGTCCATAGAATAGGAGGGATCTGATTCGGTTCAATGGTACCTGGAAGGTCTTTATACTAGCCAATTCGGATGATTCGTTTATGATGCTCAATAGCAGGAAGATAATCTGGAGAATCTGAAAAAAATATTATATAGAAAGAGTTGTGTTCCATTTCATTATACTCCATTCCAACATAAAAAATGTATATCATCTAATTTCTGATGAAATGATGAAAAATCGATTTGATTTCAACATTTAGGTACCTTCAAAACACCCATTGGGATTACCACAATTATCTGACACCATCTCAGTCACCAACCAGACTAAAGCATATACAGGGTATACAGGGTAATATTGAACAACAACAATCAATACTTCCAACTTCAACACCATGTATCATGTATCTTGAAAACAAATTATTTCAGGACCTATGCTTTGAGCTTTTATGTATTTACATATCTCCTCAAATCAATACGAATAATACGTAAATTCCAAGATATCACTGTTGAATCAGAAGAAGAATATGCTTTTCCATGTACACATACGATATACACTGCTCTCTTCAAGATTTTCAAGTGTATTCTTAGGAACGAATTGATATATTTCAAGTAAAAACGTACTATATATGCGTAACAAGAGGATCGTGAATACCATGACAAAACATGTTTATCATTCCATGATCTTTTCTCTTCATGATATTTGATGGCATCGTCATATTCTGTGCCACCATATTGCTCTGAGTAAAATTCATTATAGTCACCTTGTAGACTGTGTTTGTTGTTATCTAATCGAGATCGAGAAACACGGTTGCTGCAACGTATATCTGAGGTTGATATTATTAGTATTTCATCGATAAACGAAATATGTATTATATCAATTCAAAAGTGTATATGATCTTGGAAAAATATATCTGGATCTAAATCAACAAAATATAATGTTGTCCTGTAATATATTGTTGTCAAAGTTGAATTCAATTCTGTCAAATAGACAAAAATATATATGATTGATCAAATAATGAAATGATTACTCAATCGAAAAAATTCATCATGTTTATTAGCTATAAATTTCATTGAATGAAATTAAAATACCCAAATAGTGCCTACCCAGCCAACTCATCTGTAACATGACATCTCTGAGATGTCACAGATATGTAACAGTGTGATATCACGAATGTTCCATCGCTGAATATGCGTCACTTAACAAATTGAAGCTAAATTTGCAAACATTCGTTACATTTCTATCAAACTATTCTTGGTTTGCTTACATCTCGCCGACACCACACTACATAATTTTTCATATGAAAAGACGAATGAATTGACAGGAGACCCGTAAGATCACCAACCAGTCACAACAACACATAATCAATATTGGATGTCATCAGAAGTCAGTGGTGTACCTATTATCACACCATGTTTGAAGATTTTTTTCCTTTCACGCATCACATCGTAGTTTTATCGCAAGATCACATCGCTTTTCCATCACAAATAACATATCGCAATTATTTTTCAAAAAATATATAGCTGTTATATTGCAAAGAACTTATCGTAGCGACGTCGCATGCATGAACCTTGAGTGGGACGAAATAACATCCTTCTGACATTGCAGCGACGTCTATGCCACATAGGCGATATCGCAGGTCAAAATTGTTACATCGCTGCGATATCTCTGTGATGTAACTGTGTTTGCTGCTTGCTATTTTGTCTCATTGAATAATTTTCTCATTCCAAATTAATATGAAGAATTTGTTGATTCTGCACAAATTCAACAATAAAAAGATTGACCTTAATAATTCTGTTGATGTAACAAATATGTTTTTCTATGTGAGTACATATGCATCACACGATGATAACAATTAATAGATAATGATAAGTATACTCACAAAATTCCACAATGTGAAATAATAGTTCCGATATTTGTCCATGATTGAGATCTCGGCACTGTATATACTTTTCTGTGAGAGAGTCAACACTTCACCAAACTTCATAAAATCCCGCAATCGCAAAAAGTAATATAGCAATATACTCGAGTATGAAATCAAAGCCAAATATCGATTGATCATTTCGATTTTCTTTCACTTCAGCCGATATAAGTATACCTACACTATTGAATGAGCTAGATACCAGCTATTTCGTTTTAAATATCAGTTGTTACCAACAAATGCATATAGTAGAAACATCAGATTTGAATGAAAAATGACAACGGAGAGTCCATAGGTCAGCTAGCTCAATTTTATCTGAATACACTAGACTTATTATATGCTACAAGTTTGTCCACAACCGGTTTTGTTTTTACACAATGTAAATATTTTGTTTGCTAATGAAGATTTTATAGGCCTGCAAGTTCGTTTGTGCTCGCTGTACCTTTCTACAAGCGTGATGCGTGATTCACCCTATACCCGCACGCAATTTAGTTTGGGAAGTGTCATTTTCCCGCAGTAGTGCGGGAAAAACATTTATATACAGTGTGACTCACTCAAGACCGGAGCACCCTTATAAAATATATGGTTTTCAACCGATTTTTTTTTCATTCAGTAGAAGGACTATCCGGAGATCTACGTTTACACAAATTTGCAAAATTAAATTCCAATCTACAGGGCATACTATGTTGTTCTTTTCATGTTAAAAATTGCGAAATATCATTAGCGATTTTTTTCAAGAAAAATTGACCCCACCACTGAATCCAGCATCCTTCAATTAGGTCGAGCGCAAAATTTCATTGAACAATTTCAATTGGCAACAAAGTTATAACAACATTAATTTTGATTGCTCACCATTTTTAATGAATATTTCAGACAAATTCTGAGAAGCGGCAACATTGTCAATACAAATGTTGGAAATCATTGAAATTCCTGGTACACATCTGGATTGATAACACAAATTAATTAATTAATAACATCTAAAATGGAATTTATCTTGGTATTCATGAAAAGATTCATAAAATGAAAAATCCATAACGTCGAAAAATCGGCTTCTCACAATAATTATCATCAACCAAGAATTTTCGTATCAAATAATAACTTCATCTTGATTTTATCATTTCCAAATTTTCTACCAGCCATCGTACAAATAAGTTCAATAATATACATCATTGAATAATCTCGGTCCATAACTATCTAGCCCTAATCAATACATTTCAAATTTTTGTTGCTTCCACTAAACCACCATTCAATTGAATACATTTTTCATATCTATTTTTCACAGTATTTTTGAGTCCTTCGGGTGTTACTTCCATACAAGCTCGACGTATTCTTTCACACAACTCCTGTCTAGTTCTTGGGCAGGTTTTGTAAACTTTCTGTACAAGAAAACCCCACAAGAAGAAGTCAAGAGGGGTCAAATCGGGGGACCTGGGTAGTCATCCAATGAATACACTTCTTCGACCACTCCAAAATATTTGTCAGTAGATTATTAAATGTTCTAGTGGATCAGTAGATCGCGATATGCAAATCAGGAGATCTACTGAAAATTTAGTAAAAACGACAACCCTGCAGCATGCGATAGGTGTTTTCGCCTTCGGGAATAGTCGGTTTTCCGTTTTTGTAGAGGTCGACAAGACTAGTTATTCATGCAAATTGATAGCCGACGCCTTAGCAAATAAGTCTATAGCAATCAGGAGAGACAATAGACAGTTTTCCGCCGAGGTGCATATTCAATTTTTTCGTCGACCTCAAACACTTATCTACATATCATCGTCCTATTCGCACGGGAAATCTATTGGATTCTGTGAATAATCAATTTGTCAACAGCGAATGACAGTTGTTGTCAACTCACTCTCTGCGCGGACCATGGTTGCCAGTTCGATTTCTATTTCATCAAATACTTTGTTGTTTCCACCAAACCACCATTCAATTGAATACATTTTCCATATCTATTTTTCACAGTATTTTTGAGTCCTTCGGGTGTTACTTCCATATAAGCTCGACATATTCTTTCACACAACTCCTGTCTAGGTCTTGAGCAGGTTTTGTAAACTTTCTATACAAGAAAACCCCACAAGAAGAAGTCAAGAGGGGTCAAATCGGGGGACCTGGGTAGTCATCCAATTAATCCACTTCCTCGACCACTCCAAAATATTTGTCAGTAGATTATTAAATGTTCCAGTGGATCAGTAGATCGCAATATGCAAATCAGGAGATCTACTGAAAATTTAGTAGAAACGGCAACCCTGCAGCATGCGATAGGTGTTTGCGCCTTCGGAAATAGTCGGTTTTCCGTTTTTGTAGAGGTCGACAAGACTAGTTATTCATGCAAATTGATAGCCGACGCCTTAGCAAAGTCTATAGCAATCAGGAGAGACAATAGACAGTTTTCCGCCGAGGTGCATATTCAATTTTTTCGTCGACCTCAAACACTTATCTACATATCATCGTCCTATTCGCACGGGAAATCTATTGGATTCTGTGAATAATCAATTTGTCAACAGCGAATGACAGTTGTTGTCAACTCACTCTCTGCGCGGACCATGGTTGCCAGTTCGATTTCTATTTCATCAAATACTTTGTCGAAAAAATGTATTTCCTCCTCCAAAGCTGGAAAATAATATCGAATGTGCAATAGGTAGGTAGGAATGAATATGAATGATGAGCGAATATCATAATAATATACTACATTACTACAGTCGATAAATTATTCAATATCTAATCAAACATCAATATTATTTCATGCATCAAGAAACTCCAATCCCTGTGATTTGTTATTTCACTAGGCATAATGTTATGTACTTTTTTATCTAAATGGGTTGGAAAACATAATAATATATCTACGTACTCTAATATAATCACTTATAATGCATGATGCTTTCACAATGAGTAAGTACAAGCAGTAGTCTGGCCTGAGCACAGTTCAATCCAAATATGTCCCAAATATCATTTATCCTAGTGACTGGAATATTTTGGTTTGTTTCATCACATCATGGCCCATTTCCCATGGAAAATCATTCGAGGAATGAATTAACAAAATGCGTTAATAATATAATATCATTATCTATAGAGAAAAATGAAGTGACATACGTTATAAACAGTAATTTGGAAGTTGATACCCCTTGTGTTCAGTACAAGCCTGAGGAACCGATAAGAAACTTCAATTTCTTACAACCAACTATGTACATCCTAAATTTGGAAACAAAAAGTATTGAGGACTTGATGGAGTTGATATACGATTTTGCTCTGCTGAATCCAAAAGGGAAGTTTATAATCTTAGCTGAGAAGTACGATCCAAATATATTCAGAATTTTAGACCAACATTATATCTACAATGCAATAATTGTGATCACACAACTAAATGGAAATGTTTCGCTCATTCACAAATTCATCATCAGAGATAACTCCATTGAGGATTTTATGGTAGGAAACTGTACTGGAGGAATACTGACAAACACAATTGAATTGTTTGGCATGAAAGATCAGAAGAAACATTTTACTGAGCTACGCGTACTATATAAAATATATCCACCTTACTTCATCAACGAGAGCGAAGGAATTTTGAATGAAATATTCAAATTGATGGGACATCAGTTGAAACTGAGAATTACTCTGATAGAAAGTCCGACCAGTAACTTTGGCCAGATATTTGCTAACAGAACATATACAGGTATCTGGTCTCTCATGAAAACCAAGAAATATGATATTTCTGGGGCTTTAGTAATTGCTAATGACAAAGAACTAATGTATTTTGATATGACGTACCCAGTGGTTGAGGATATATCTTTGTTCATAGTACCAAGAATTTTAGAGTACAATTTCTGGGGAGTTTTGTACAGAGAATTCAATTTGAGCGTTTGGATATATTTTTTAATAACAGTCTCTGCCACTACTGCTATTCTTTATTACCTAGGAAAATTAGTGAACAGAAAAGAAAACTTACTCACAATTCAATACTTACTGGTCAGTATAATACTAGAGAATGCTTTCAAGAGAAGGTCCCGAACTGTCTCAATCAATATCATGTTACTGAACTTCTCTGTGTTTGTTCTCATCATGAACACCCTCTACAAAAGTAAAATGTTTTCAATAATGAGTGGAGACTCCTCATCTCTATGGGTGAATTCTGTGGAAGACATTTTGAAAGTCAACATGAAGATAGGTCTGCATGATATGTCCAGAAGGCAATTGAATGCCTCACCAATTAAATTAGAAAGAACCCTTGCTAATAAGAGTGATATTCGCTGTACAGGAGATGAAACATGCCTAAACAGAACTGCTTTCCAGAAAGACATTGCAACCGTCAAATTAGTAAGAGGAGTCAAGTATTTGATTCCAAGGCTATATGTAGATGAAAGAGGGCGATCACTGCTACACATATTGCCCGATTTTGAAGTGTCTACCTATCCATTCAGTTTTTTCTTTCAGAGAGGACATCCCTTATTTTCGAGATCGAACAGCATACTGCTCAGATTGAAGGAATGCGGATTAGTACAACATTTGTACAATGAAGTTGATCGGAAAAATGAGAAAGCCATGACCTTGGCAAGAAGAAATGGTGACAGTTTCCAAGCGAAGCCGTTGAATATTAAGAATTTGATCACCTTGTTTTTTATATATTCCATGATGAATTGTCTCGCCATTGTAGTATTTTTTTTCGAATACTTCAAATGTTTCGAGAAAAATATGAAAATTTCTCATTTGAAATAGTGGGCACTGAGGCAATCATGTTTACACTCTCAGCATTTGAAGCTTTCTTGACTTGAACGTGATTTTTGTCGACAAATATCTGTTTCTGGATAAGTAGAATCCAGTGAATGTGAATGTCTCTTCATTTGGTACTAACTGTGAAATTCCTCATCTTTTACCACTATCGAAATAAAACAATATGAACCCACCAATTATGTTTCGTATTTATGTCTTTACACTATCCATGAGAATTCATTGTTTAAGGAATTCGCGTCCAATGTCCAAAGTCTAAAGTAACATGGGAATATCCTTCTATTGGTATTCCTAAATAATCAAAAACTGTCAATATGTGGTACGCGTATCTACACAGTTATTTTGTATCGCTTGGAGCGCACGAAAGGAAATTTTTATAACGTTCGAGGAACATCGTGCGTACCTAGGTATATAGGAAGAATAGGGAGAGGAGGAAGGTATTGAAATTGTGTTGAACTTTGCCATTCTATATATAGACACACGAGTTTTGATAAAGTGTTGTTCAACATATTTCGAGGTTGACAACGAAAGAATTTGCTGACTGGGCTTGTCGAATTCGCCTGACTGCTATTGCTAGTGATGGAATGAGCAGAGATTTCTGAAGAACATTTTATGTGGAAGTATCTTTAGAAAAGTGAAAGGTTGCTCACTTTCTATATACGGTGTTCCTATGATGTCAAAGACTT